CAACAGCAACAGCAACAGCAGCAGAACCAGCAACAGCAACAGCAACCGCAGCAACAACCAAGACAGCAGAAGCAGCGACGTTCACAGCATCACTCCTTGCAGCTGCTGCTGTTCCTGTCGCCTAATAAATTCCACCCCTTCCTCCTACGGGGCCTCCACCTGGCATCCTCTCCTAAAGCCTTGAGCCCTTCAACCCCGAATCACAAAAATGTTTTTGGTTCCGACGAGTTTCTAGTCCACCTTCCAAGTGAAATCAGCAACACAGCAGACACTAGTTCTACAAGCAAGTTGGGGTTCAGGGATAAGGGATCAAGGTTTTAGGGTTTCGGAGTTTTAGTTTCAGGGGAGCGTTTGTAGTTCGGGGCTTAGGAGGTTCGAGAGTTAGGCGGTCAGGCTATGACAGTTGGGAAGCCCTTTTCTCCACTACTGCCAGACTACTGCCCTAGACATCGGTTTCTTGGGTGTCGGCCTTGTAACACCTGTGTAATCCTTATGATGGCTGACTACTGTACCATTGTTACAGCGACCGGCAGTACGACTACAGCTTTCCTTGATACGACTAGCAGATTAGCAATATCGCTGCTCAGTGCTTGATATTGCTATCACCAACGACCGCTACTGTTGTTGCCAATCGGATTCACATCTCGAACATCGGAGCTACCCTGCACCCTGGAAGTCTCTGAGCTACACATGTGGGACCCTGCAGCGGGGCTCATCAGTTTCGGAGACTGCACTTCCGAGTTCCCAAACTTCATTTTGCGGTGGCCCTCTCATGAGGCAAACGCAGACCCATTCCTGTTGGGGCTTTGCTCAGCGACCCTCCTTTGCTTCCTCGTTGGATCTTCAGGAACAACAACAACTCCAAGCAATAAGTCGTGATGTTGGTAAGGGAGCCCAGATGGGCTCCCTACAGAGACTTGATGGGTCGATGCTGAGGAGTCCCCCGCCACTAAAACCTTTGTGGAAAACCCTTGTGTCGCATTGGAGTGTGTAAGTTACTGTAGCAGTAGCAGCAGTTGCAGTAGCAGCAGTAGCGGCAATAGCAGCAGCAGTAGTAGTAGTAGTCGTCGTCGTCGTCGTCGTTGGTGCTTTTTGGCTTCTGCTTGTCGGACTGTTGGAACCTTCTTAGCAGAACTTGTGTGTTGCGCTGCATTTGCGGTTTCGGTCCAGTACTATTAGCAGCATTACTATCATGGCTAGTAGTGTTACTCGTACTATCATTGGCACTATATGACTAGTACTTCTACTATCACCCCCCAAAGGGCGCTATTACTTTTACTATGATTGTCACTGACATACACCAACACTATCAGAAATACTATTTCTATTCCTGTCATCATGATCATCACCATTACCAGCACAACCAATGATTGCTTTTACCAATACTTACTATTACCATTGCTGTCACTTGTATACTTAGTCCGTTGTTCCTATGCCTATTCCTACTGCCATTGCTCTTGCCTTGTTACAGATACTCCTAGTCCTCACACAACCACTGCTGCCCCACCACTGCTACTACTATTACCACCACCACCACCACGACCACCACCACGGCGACGACGACGACGACGACGACGACTACTACTACTAGACGACTACTTCTTGCACCACTATGGCCACGACTGCAACTTCTTCTACTACTGCTACGACGACGACTACGGCTATGTTTTTGTTTGTGTACCGTCACTATCACTATTCACTATTTCCATAGGCTAGTTACTGATGGCCCCATGCTTTTCAATCATTGTCATTATCCCTATTTCATGTTGTTGTTTTTATTCCTTTTCAGCCTGGCTAGAACTATTTTTATTATTACTCTGACTATTCCTGTTATTGCTACTGCTGTCTACGCGATGATGGTGCTGCTGCTGACGATGATGATGCTGACGATGATTATGATGATGATGATGATGATGATGATGACCTTGAAGATGATGCGGAACTGGCGGAATATAGTCTTAGTTTTTCATGTTTGCTACAAACAGTGTTGTTAGCATCACATGTTGAATGATTTCACAGCCTTCGTATGTTGCATTTTTGTGTGGATAGTAGCTGTGGTAGTACTTCGTTACAAGGCTGTGGTACCTGCGCTTGATGCACCGGACTGTTAGGTGATGTGATAGGGTGCCCGAAGCTGAAATTAAAGGCAATGAGGATGAGGCTAGTTGCTTGCACTCCAGGTCGCGCTGGCCCCTCCACCGAGGGTGGAGTCGTGTTCAGGGGCAGCTGCTCCGCAATAGAGGAGTGGGCAGGGCACGGGCGGTCGGAATTTCGGAAGGTTTCGCTGCGTCGTCACGATGCCGAAGGGCTGTCATTTGGACGTTCCGCATTTCAGGCGTTGTTTCGACTTGAGTTCTGGAGATGAGAAGTACATTGACCCGCGCTTTCTGCCTCGACCCCGTCTTGCATCGTTGCAACTTTTCCTTTGTTAGTGCCCTGCATGGCTTGAAGTGGTTACAAACTGGCAGGAGCACTGGCTTTAGATTGCAGATTTAGGTGGTCATGGTATGGGTGTTGTGAACCCACGGACGTACTGCCAATCACAAACCTGCAGGAAGGCATACGGCGTGTTGGCGTTTTTTGTCAGAGTAAAGCACACGAGCTTTGACTCCGGAGTGCAAGCTATTGCTGGCCGCTGGTGGTTATTGTTGTGATTGCGGTCCGCGCTGCGTTTAGCTACTTCTTTTGCTTTTCGTGCAGCTTCTGTTGGTGTCGTTACGTAGTGTTCCGTTCTGCTAGTCTGGCGATGGCCTATAACTGGTGTGGTGATTGATTCAGGCATTGTCGTTGTTGGTAGCATGACAAAACAATAGTAGCCGTCGCCGTAGGACAATGATCCTGGCAGTGCAAAGTCGGTGATGGAAGGTATATCAATACGGTGATGACTAAACCCCGAACCAACCGACTTCCCTCTCTCGTTCCCTGAGAATGCGGACCCACTGCATCGAAACTTCCGAGGCTTCGCCGTGCACTGCGAAATCTTGCAGCAACGGAGCAGGAGAGGCTCGCTTGGGTTTGGGAATCGGGCTACGGAGTGTGGACTTAGAGTCTGGTGGCTTCATGAAGTCAGGTTTAGGGCTTGGTTTGGTGGTGGGAGGACTGCCCGTGCATTGCGAGCTTCAGCAAGGAGTGTCATGAGTTGATGGTCGAGAGTGTCATGTGGCACGCGGCTTCAGTGTGGGGACTTCCCCCGGATTCGAAACGTGATCCCCAGAGGGCTCGGAGTTCCTGTAGCTCAGAGCCTGGGAGCAGGATTCAGAACTTGATATGATACTCGAAATAAACCCGACGCCCTAATCGGGAATGCTCTGAGGTAGCCAAGGTGCAGGGGCTTGACATAACCTTCCAACTTTCAAGCATCCGAGTGTGCGCATTCGACCCTGCCTGCACCACACACGGCCGCATGGCCAGTGTGATGTGTCCCGTCCGAAGCACAGCGATTATTGTCCATGCTGGTGGTCCGCCACTCCCTTAAAACCGACGGGGCGAGCGTTCAAGACTTGATTTAAAGCCCAGTCTTTCCCAAAGCCAACTATATCTAGAGTTTAGGGGTTTCGACAGGGTCTTAGGTCCCTAAATTTCAAACCCCCAACCCATATAACCTACACCCTGTGCCCCAAAAATCCTAAACCCATAAACCCTCAGCCCTCATCCGAAGCCAACACCTACTTGGAGAATCTTGGGACTTAGTAAGTAGGGTTATAAGTACCTTAATTATTAATTGGGGTTATGAGTGATTATACGTATAGTTACCTTATTTATAACCTCAGTTACTAAGTCCCATGATCCTTTAATTACGGAGGACCTAGACTCCACAATATCTGAAGCCTAGAACCTGCCATCCTACGGCTTCGCATTTCCCTCACCTTGAAGTCGGGAAGGTTTTTTTATAATTACCAAAAATAGTATCATGCTTTATTAAATATAGTATAGTATGGTAAGGCATCCTATAGCATAGTAATTACAACATAACATAATCTAGTACATTAAGCTATGCTAGAACATATTAATACTATCTTCTATTGTCTTACATTACAGTAAGTCACCTGCTCCTCAAGGTCTGTGGACTTCGTGCTGTGCTTTTGCAGTGTGGCACGCTCGCCAGGCAGGGCGCCTCGAACATGAGGGATGTGCAACACAGATGCAGGGGACGTGCTTAAGTTTGCTTGCCCACTCATTTATTTGCTTGCGTGCGTGCTTGATTGTGATGCTTTTGCTTGTTTGTTGGCTGGTTGATTGTGTACCAGTGTTGATTTGTTTGTTTCCTGGTTGTTAATATAGGGGCGCTAATAATTACCTATACTATTTTTTTTTGGGGGGGGGCTCCTTATTATATTTATCGTACAACATACCCCCCAGACCCTATTGTAATTATTGAGGGCAGGACATCATAGAACCCTCATAGAGCCCATTCAAAGGAACCCTGCCCCAAAACCCCAATCTAATTATGAAGGATCCTACATTAGGCTGCTTGCTTTTGCGGCTTGGTCGGTCGGCCTGTGGGCTGCCCGCCTGGCCCCAATTTCCAAGGTTGCTGATGCAGTTTTGGGGCTCCTTGTCATGATTATAGAATATTATGTCCCAAAGACCCTATCCTTATTGTTAGGGCCCTCATATTACCTGCCTGTCATTTGTTTATGCCTTTGTCTATCTGTCTAGCTGTCGCTGTTGCACATAGGATCATAGGATTTTTGGCTGATGGTGGCTCGCCGCGTGGCTACGCTTCTCGCTTGAGCCCAAACACAACAAGTATCTACTCGTGAAGTAGGTCGGTAGGTAGGTAGGTAGGTAGGTAGGTAGGTAGGTAGGTAGGTAGGTAGGTAGGTTGGTTGGTGGGTAGGTAGGTTGGTAGGTAGGTAGGTAGGTAGTTAGGTAGGTAGGGAGGGAGGGAGGTAGGTAGGTAGGTAGGTAGGGTAGGGTAGGGTAGGGTAGGGTAGGAGGGTAGGGTAGGG